ATCTAGCTAGCTAGCTAACTAGCTATCTATCTAGCTATCTAGCTATCTAGCTATCTAGCTATCTAGCTATCTAGCTATCTAGCTATCTATCTATCTATCTAGCTATCTAGCTATCTAGCTATCTAGCTATCTAGCTATCTAGCTATCTAGCTAGCTATTTAGCTATCTAGCTATCTAGCTATCTAGCTATCTAGCTATCTAGCTATCTAGCTATCTAGCTAGCTATTTAGCTATCTAGCTACCTAGCTATTTAGCTAGCTAGCTAGCTAGCTAGCTATTTAGCTATCTAGCTAGCTAGCTATCATCTACCTACCTACCTATTTATCTATCTTAGATCATCTCAACCACCCACCCGCCAATTCTGGTTTATTTTTGTGTGTTTTCTGCCTATTTGAGCCATGGTAGCGCAGTGGTTAGAATGCAGTACTGCAGGCTATTTCTCCTGACTGCCGGCTGCCTGCAATTTGGCAGTTTGAATTTCACCAAGCTCAAGGTTGACTCAGCCTTCCTTCCGTCCTTCCGAGGTGGGTGAAATGAGGACCCAGATTGTTGGGGGCAAGGGGCTGATTCTGTAAACCGCTTAGAGAGGGATGTAAAAGCACCGTGAAGTGGTATATAAGTCTAAGGGGCTATTGCTGTTTGTGGCAAGTGGCAAAAAGTGTATGGGCCTGGATGTAAACAATTCTCGTGGTTGCTCCAGCACGGAACATCCAGCAAACTAACAGCTTCCTGCTCTTACTCACATCAACTCTCCCCCTCACTCAAAATATACAAAACAACTTCAGGGGTCCTCAAAACACAGCTCACAAGGCCTCTTTCTTTGCCTCCCCCCCCCCAATACGGGAACTTTGGTTGCCGCGCTCCAAAAAACACGTGGCACGGCTTTCTTTTTGGAAAGGTTTACTAGCCCCTCGCCAGCACTTCCAATCAAATTTTGTTTTGGAGGGTGGGATGAGGGGGGAAGGGGCTTTCATAACTGGCCCATTTATTCTTTCTCAGAAGCACTTCTTCTGCAGCACCGTGGAGCCAACCTCTCTGTATTCTTCCTGGGTGACCCACATGTTCTGAAACGAAGGCAGGCTGGTGAGCACCGACGCGCCGATCCAGACGGAATGTATCCGGTTTGCTGGGGCTTCCAGATTGGTCGGCAGGCCGCGAGGGCCTAGACTCCTTAGCTCTTTGAGAAGACGTTCGCTAAGACCCGGGAAGAGGGTAGATCCTCCCGCTACAATGAGGCTTCTCCAGAGATCGTGGCGGATGCTTCCTTCGCATTTGGAGATGCTCTCGGCGATCATTTGGTGGATTCCCGGCGCCGCAACTCCCGCATCCGTCGGGTTGAACAGGGCTTCGGGAGCTCGGAAGAGCTGGTCCCCGATCTCGACAGGCGTGCCATCAGGGAGGGTGTATTTGCGGATGGATGCTTTGTCTTTCGGGTGTCCCGAATCCAGAGCCACGTAGCACAGGTTCTCCTTGATGTTCTTCACAATCTCCTTCTCGGCGGAGCTGAGGAAATTGTGGCCGCTCTCCAGCAGGAGGGTCGCGAGATATCGGGTGACGTCCCGTCCCGCGAAGTTCATCCTGGAGATGGCGTGGAGCAGGCAGTGGCCTTTGTAGATGGGGACAGTCAACGTGACTCCGGCACCGCTATCTAAAACCAAACCGGTGGTACGGGCAGAAGCGTACAAGGCCATCAAAGCTTGAAGGCCTACAAACATAGCCGGGACCTCAAAATGCTCGAACATGATCTCTGTCATCTTCTCTCGGTTGCCTTTTGGGTTCATGGGTGCTTCGGTCAACAACACCGGCCTCTCCTTGGCTCTTGCCTTGAGTCCATGCCTGTAGATGTATCTCCAGATCTTCTCCATGTCATCCCAAGAGGTCACGATTCCATGTTCCACCGGGTATTTAAAAGATAAGATCCCTCTTTTGGCTTGGGCTTCCTTGCCTACGTAACAGGTCCTCTGAACGGGGCCAAACATGATCGCTCGGGTCTTTGGGTAGCCAACAACGGTCGCCACCATGGCCCTGGGAGCCTCCTCCCCGGAAAAACCGGCTTTGCAGATTCCTGACCCATTGTCAATAATGACAGCGCTTCTCGACTGAGACATCTTCGATCCGAAGAGCTGAATTTGCAACGGCTCTTTTCCTCACTCTCATAGGACACAGAACATTGGGTCCGTCTAGGTTCTAGATCCTTAGATCTCACAAACGGGTTTCTCCCTTTTTCAAAACCGGCTTCTTCTATGATGTACAGGCGACATATATTTCTGGGAACAGGGTCTTCTCTGAGTAACCAGGGCTTGTCTTGGAGTGATGGAATGATTGGGAGCGTCCACCATGGATGTTCAGAGATTATTGTTATTACTGGTTATCTTTGTGAACCAGGATCAACGAAAGAGGTTTCAGGTGGCCAAGGATGTAGGACACCATGATGCTTCTCAGATCCCCGGTTTCAATTTATTCACAGTGGCGCCTCTGTGGTGTTAAAGCTGGACTGCGTGGTCTTCTTGGTTCAATTTTCTGCAGAGGTTTAAGAAGCTTCCAGTTTGATCTTCAGTGGTCAGCCAATGGAGACCAAGTTGACGTTGTCATCCGGCAAGGACAATGACATCAAAGAGAACAATGGAAGTGCTAAGGTGGGCCTCGTTTGGGGGGCCCACCTAGGTGAACCTCTGGATTGACAACTGAGATAGACAACTGAGATAGCGATTGGAGGGAAAAAATCAGTAATAGTAACAATACTATAGTCAGTAACAGGAAGAGTGGAGAAGTGAGTTGCTGCTACAGGAAGACAGTCCAAAGGTAGAAGAAACCATCTGTCCCAAATGTTTGAGCAGAGGGGGATGGACTAGAAGACCTCTAAGGTCCCCTTCCAACTCCGTTAGACTGTTACAATGACTGCTGACCAAGTGTAGACGGTTCTATAGAGGATCACCACACCTTGATGGTCAGCAAGTGGCCTACGGTATCCTCAAGGGCCGCCCAATGAGAAGGCCAATTGCAGTAGTCCAGCCAAGAGATTTACTTTCCAGTTCATAAACCATGTTTTCGGTAGGTAAGTCTCCTCGGCTCGTTTGACCCACAAGGACGGTCAAATTAACCATAATCTAGGTCTGCGCGGAACAAGGGACCTTAAACTACGCCAAAGTTCACACGGGGACTCTCAGCCGCAACACTGAAACGATTCAACCGAGGTTTAGCTCAGGGAGTTTAGCACCCGGTGTGAATGCAATAATAAGGGAACGCCAAGGTGAGACAACCTTCACACTTGCATTTCTATATTGGGAAGGTGAAAAAAAAAACCAAAATTACAGACTGTTCTCGGCATACGACCACAACGGAGGTCGTACGTTTCTGTCACTAAGCGAGACAGTGGCTAGGTGCGTGTTTGCCTCACCTAACGAACTCTCTTGCCACGGTTGTTCGAATGAATCCGTGCAGTTCTTAAGTTAGTCACTTGGGGGTGAATAGAATTCCCCGGGAAACTGCAGCTGTCATAAGCATCTGCATTTTGTTCACGCCACCCCGGGGATGTTGCAACGGTCGTAAGTGTGTGGAAAGGGTCCTAAATGGTCACATTTCCAAAAGGTCGCTAAGTGAACTGTTCTAAGTCAAGGACTACCTCAGAGGTGCTATTTTGCCGGTTTGGGGGGGGGCAATCAGTAGTGGGGGTGGCGCAAGGCTCCACTCACCCACCCAGACAGAACATGGGGAAGACAGTACCCCTCGTACACGGGGAGGGCGTGGCTGAGGTTCTGCGCATGAACAGATATGCGGGCGCGCTCCCGCTACCGAACCGGTGGTGAAGAAAATAGGACACCATTACTGGACTACTAAGCAGGAAGTACATTAAATCCACATAGTTTCTCGTGCCTTTAAATCAATTATTTATTTAACCTTTTGGGGAAAAGGTGAACGCTTGCAATTTTTGTCTTTTAATCGTTTTCCGCTTTTATAGCCAAACGAGGAGAGGTTTCCCCGTCCTCAGTAACACCGTCGGTGGACAATATTTGGCCCGTATTCTCGGTAATCAGCAGCCGTCACCCACATCTGTTTGAAGGTGCTCAAGGAGGTGATGATCGACGCCCCGATCCATGCCGAGAACCAACGGTCTGGGGGAGCGATGACCTTGATGGGGACACCTTGGGGGGCCTCCCCTTCCAAGCCTTTGAACATCCGCTCGTCCAAACCTGGGAAGAGGGAAGACCCTCCCGAGATTAGCACGTTGGAATACAGGACCTTACGGATGCTGGGGTCACACTTCTTGATGCTGTGGGCCACAAGCCTGGGTAGACCATGTCCCTTGTGGTCGATGTTGCTCGGGGTGAACAGGATCTCGGGGGCCAGGTAAAGGGGGTCCCCAATTTTGATCCTGTTGCCGTCGGGAAGCTTGTACTCTTTGGGGAGCTCTTCGGAGTGCTTGCTGTCTCGGTGGCGGGCGTCCAAGGCCACAAAACACAACTTGACTTTGATGTCGTCCACCACAGTGTTGGCTTCCGGAAAGTTCCAGAAGTATTGCCTGTTTTCCAGGAGAAGTTCCCTCAGGAATTGCGTGACGTTGCGGCCCCCGAGGCCCAGCTTGGACACCGCGTGGGGAAGACAGTACCCCTCGTAGACGGGGACGGCGTGGCTGATCCCAAAACCGCAATCAATGACGACCCCCGTGAAACGGGCAGAGGCGTAGAGGGAGAGGATGGCCTGGATGGAGAGATAGAAAGACGGAACCTTAAAACATTCAAACATCACCTGGGTGAGCTTGGCTCGGTCTTCTTTGGGATTCAAGGGGGATTCTGTCATCAGCAGAGGTCTCTCGAAGGCCTTCACCCCCAACCCTTTGTCGTAGATGTACTTCCAGATGGTCTCCATCTCGTCCCAGCAAGTGATGACGCCCGCTTCCATGGGGTAGGCCAACGAGAGGCTATCTTGTCTATGCTGGGCTTCAAATCCCACGTAGCATTCCTTCTGTTTAGCCTTGGAATGTGGCAGCTTGCTTCTGGGGTAACCGAGGACCGTGGGCATGACGTGCCTTGGGCTAATTTCTCCAGAAATCCCCGATTTGCAAAGTCCGGAGCCATTGTCAATGATGACAGCGTGGGAGTGGGAGAGCCGAGCCTTTGACGCGAAACCTTCTCGGCCCATTTCAGGAGAACATCAACCTGTTCAGCAACTGACGATAGGCATGGTGTCGGAGACTCCGAGACGGAATAAAAACACTTCCGGTTTCCTCAGTGCTCTATCAGCCTGAAAACGATGACAATGGCAAAAACCCACGGCCTCTCTTCCCATTTGAGAAAAAGTGGAAAAAAATAGTCCATAGCCATGACTTCACAATGAATGAGGTCCTGTCTAACCATTGTTGAGTTGTCTCTAGGAGACCAGAAAGTTCAAGAGGCCTTTCAAAGCTACTTTGATGAAGGGGCAAAGATGGTTTCAAGTCTTCTCTTAGTCAAGATCCACTATCTTGACCGGAATTGGTCTTCAGGTATTTAGGATGGGACCAGAAAGTTCAAAGCTACTTTGATGAAGAGACAAAGATGGTTTCGCCTTTTCTCCTAGACAGGATCCACTATCTTGACCAGAAACGGTCTTCAGATATTTAAAATGAACTCTTCCACAAATGCAAAATTAAGTCCAAGACACCTCAAGAACACGGCTGTCTTCACAAGAACACAAGAACACAAAAACACAAATCATCTCCTCTCTCTCTTTCTCCATCACTGTTCTTGCTTCTTCAGTTGTTTCCTAGAATATAGAATAGGATCGGAAGGGCCCACCCCAAGGTCTTCTAGTTCATCCTCTTACTCAAGCAGGAGAGCCTCTACCATTCTCTTCTTAACAATACAAAATTACCCCCCAAAAATGGAATGACCACTAGGGGTCCTCCAAGAGATCAGAAGTGTCTTTCCTTGTTGCTGCCGCCCCTACTGGTGATCGGGAGGATTGCATCCTGTGTTGGAAAAGCACTAGGTTTACAGAGCTGATCATTGTAGGAAGCAAAAATTAGTGTAAACTTTATAAAATTGATTTTTTTTTTCCTGTCCCAGATCGATTCGGTAAGAAGGGAGGAAATTAAGATGGCCCTTCTGCCCAACCCTTGTTTATTTTCAGGAGCATAATTTATCAACGCCCATCTTGCCCCTTCGGCCCTCCCCGTCTCAGCATTTTCCGTCGCCGCGGGAAGGAAGTCCACCATACCTCTTTATTAAAGCAAGGAAAGCAAAATAGGCAGTGGTGAGATTCAACCCGTTCGCTTCGCGCGCACTTTGAGGGTGTGTGCTCCAGACGTGTGCTGCGCGCATGTACATTGCATTTGAAATCAGCACTAAATTTTAAGAGCCGAGGTGGCGCAGTGCTTAAATGCAGCACTGCAAAGCTACTTCAGCTGACTGCAGTTCTGCAGTTCGGCTGTTCAAATCTCACCGGCTCAAGGTTGATTCAGCCTTCCATCCTTCCGAGGTGGGTAAAATGAGGACCCGGATTGTTGTTGGGTGATAGGCTGG